GATTTCTGTAGCTACGTCAAAAGTAGCGAATAACGAAAGGTGACAATTTGGATTCCAGTGTTCGCCCCGTTAAACTTGAATCTAATAATAATCGGAAATAAAACATGAGTGAAATTTCTATTTGGGTTCATTCTGAAAGACTAAAAGCAGGCGGGATCCATTCTTTGTCTGGATAACATCGCGTCGGTGGTGAAATGAACTTGGTATTTGAATTTTTACGCTAAAATAGTATACCGTGTGGAAGGAAAGTATGGAATAAATAATCGTTTTCGAAACGATGAATAAAATAGGAACATTTGCGTATAGTCCAGGCGGTAAGCATTCGAGGCGTTTGTATTTGAAGTCATCTATTTTGTTGTACAGAAAAATCCCAAATATTATGTAGAATAAGAATCCGAGTTTGCCTATTCCAAAAAACCATTCAGGGCAACAACAAACTTACAAAAATAACGAAAAATGACCCGTTTTTTGACATAATTTTTCCTGTAACGCTGAAAGTAAGCCCTAAATAAAAAGTCAATTATTAGACGTTTTTCAATAAAACGAATAAAAAAAGTTGAATTTTGCATTAACAATGGGCGAAAAATAGAAAATCATATGTATACTTGGAGCAATTTTTAAAATAATTTATAAATATTGTTGAAACTTTGTGAATAAATAGTAAAACATGTCAATTCTACCCTAAAAATTTTGCAACGATCGATCAAGTGGTTTTCGATTGACAGAATTGTTAATTAAGAAAATTTTAAAAAGTTTATCGCGTACCGTGGGTTTAAATTAAGGTTTAGAAAGGGCACACAATTTCTTAGAGATACAATAAATAATGATCAATGCTAAAAGTACCTATTATTATACTTTTATAACCATTTAGATTTTTTTTTTAATTTTTCAATATTTTACTCTATAAACAATTATTTACTGACCAGGGAATTGTCTATGCAATCAACAAAATCATGCACACATAAAAACTAGGTCGTAATGTAACCCCTTGTTTTTTAGCCAAATACGACAGCAATTATAGTACAGTCATTGAAGCTTTTCACCTCCGAATTCTTTGGAACTGAACCGATCGACTTGAAATTTGGCAGATAGTTAGATAAAAGGTCAATGAACATTAGTGACATAGCGCCGATTGACGCTTCCACCCGCTTGGGGGTTGACACCCTTTCTCGGGGGTGGAAATTGTTTTTTCAAATCGGAAATGGACATCGATAGAGATTCAAATTTTGAGCAAAAAATATTCGAAGAATTTTTTCTAGAAATCAATAGTTTTTTAGTTATTCACGATTGAAAACTTGGAATTTTGAGTGAAAAAAAAAACACTGTTTCAAAGTATTTTTCACGAATAACTCAAAAACTACCCATTTTATTAAAAAAAGTGCAACGAACAAAAATATAGCTTATAAATAAACAAAGAAAATCGTTTTTTAAAAAGTCTAGTACGTCCTATACAAAGCGAAATATGGTTAGTGGAAGGGGACTTGTTATGGGGGGAATACTTGAATCGATGTATTCAACGTGAAATAACTGAAAAAGGATTAATTTTACGTGTATAACGCTCCAGGAGTTTTTTGTTGTACTCAAAGAGACCTTCAAAATGAGTACTTATAAAAGTTAATTAGAGCAAAATTGAAGGAGTTATCGTCAAAAACAGATGGGTTGCTCATATTTTTTAAGGAAAAATGAGCAGTAAACGCTGTACCATTTTCATCAGAATTAAAATTAATCGTAGACCCTTTACAATTAGTTTTGTNTTCTTTCCTCGAAACTTTTATCTAAATAATCATGAGAATATTTTATACAGGGTATCGCGGTACTTGATACAAAAAAGTCGAGTATAGATATATAAGGACAAAATAATATCAGTTCTTCATATAAATTTTTTTCATACGGGCCTTCGTTAACAAGTTACGGGCCCTCAAAGGTAAAAATTAAAAAGTTATTTTTATTTACAGTCTATGAACTATTAATTTCAGCATGATGCAAATTTGGTGATCGATAACACTTGCGTACAGCTTGTTTTTGATGCTGTAACTGTGTAATTTTTTAATTTTCACCTTTGAGGGCCCGTAACTTGTTAACGAACGCCCGTATGAAAAAAAAAATATATGAAGAACTTATATTATTTTGACCTCATCTATCTGTACTTTTTTGTATCAAGTACCGGGACACCCAGTATAAAGACATAGTGAAGAATATAACCTTTAGGCAAATTGTGGAAACAAAATGAATTTCTTAATTATGTGCCTATTTTGCGAGCTATACTTATACGGAGTGTCACAAATTAGTAGGTCAAGCTGTTGACCAGAGATTACTTTGTTTATAAAGCTAAATTTCCACTGAATTGCAGAATTTCTTAAAAAATATTACTATTGTGCTTCTACTTCAGAATTTCGAAACAATAAAAATGTTTTGCCACTGAATACGCTAAGAAAACAACAGAGATCCTCTTTTTATAAGAAATATTTTGTTTTTTAGGCAACATTTAAATCTAACGGAGTGACTAATATTCATAACACTCACTTATTAGCAGATGAAAATCTAGCAATTATCATACAGACATACCAAATGAATTTTAAGCCAATGTATAGATGAAAATGGTTAATAATTTTCTTTTAATCCAGATTTTCTCGCCACCTGGATTAAATGTCGAGGAATTTTATATTTTTTGTTCAACAATTTCATAGGTCTTTTTGATGGTGATTTACCTGTGACTGCTAATCCGAAACATTCGTATTATTTCAGTAATCCAAGTCGTCTGACATTGGCTACTTGATTATTTTGTATAATCCATCTTTCAAGTTAACTTTGAATACATTTCCTTGGGATTTTTGGCAGAGATTCCAGTACCTTTAGATAATTCCTAAAATTATTGAGTAAAATGTGACGATCTCTAAAACAGTACTTTAAAAGACACTGTTTCTTAATAATTTGATAATTTGATATTTTTTTTGTCTGGCAATTCGTTTTTTAATAAAAAATACATTTACAAACTCAAATTAAAAATGCCAGACATGTTGGGCTGTTCGAAAATATATAAATAGAGTTGTAAAAAAATAATAAAATGATTTAAAATTTGAATTTTTTAAATTTACGAAGGTTTTTCCTACTTTCCAACTTTTCTTGGCTAGGTAAGACACTTCTATTGACAGCATCAGATTCAGCAGGAAATTTTACGTCGGAAATAGTATCTTGAGTATGTTTATATGAAAAAGTCGAAAAAAAATGAGAAATTATATTTTTTTACAAGTTTGTTTATTTATTTCCCATATATTTTCGTACAGCCCAACTTGTCTGGCATTTTTAATTTGAGTTGTGTATTTTTTATTAAAAAACGAATTGCCAGACAAAAAAAAGACACTGAAGTTTTCATTAATTTTTTTACAACTATTTAATTTAATTTTTTTTTTTTAATTTTCGAACAACCCAACTTGTATGGCGTTTCAACCTGAAGTATAAATAAGTATTTCCAATAATAATGCAAAATGCCAGACAAAAATAAATCGTTTAAATTAGAAAAAAAAGAAAACCAAGTATGTATTCATTAATTTTTTTTGTAACTTTTCAATTTATTTATACATTTTCGAACATCTCAACTTGTCTGGCATTTGTATATTGTGTTTATACGCGTATTTCTAATTGAAATTCAAAATGCCAGACAAAAATAAATCATAAACTTTAATATATTTTTTACGAATTTTCTTTTGTCTGGCACAATTTTTCCATTTTCCAAGGATCCCACACTTTTCTTATGGAAAGTGGCTTTTGGCCAATTTTTTTGAAAGTTCGCAGGTTGATAGTTCTTAACATGTACATCAAAAGTTTCGATGGGCACAAAGCCCTAAATCCACCCCTCCCCCCCCCAAAAACTGCCCTCAAGTAGCGGGGGAATTTAACTGATTTCTGCATGTAAATAATTTATTTTTTTANTTTGTCTGGCACAATTTTTCCAATTTGTCTGGCAAATGTTTTGTGACAATAAATATGGGTATTAATTACCCGAGATACCAGACAAATAGTGATCGCTAAAAAATGTTAAAAATTTTCAGATAATTTTCCACAGAGAAACTCGACTCCGAACATTGGAAACCCTGTGGCAATTTATTTTTATCATTTTCATAACAAAAATTTTCATTGTATCGATTGCCAGACAAAAAGTAAACGATGATTTTTTTATCTTCTTGCAAGTTCAGCCCTATGAACCACCCTTTCGGCCATTTAAAAACGCCTGGCATTTGAATATTGTTAATGTCTATTTTTGCATCAACTTCCAGACACCTTAAAATGAATGAAAAACTAATTATTTTATGCAAAAGGAAATTAGTTTTCCAAATTTTCGAACACGGGTCGGCCCTTAAGCCATCTGTATTTTCATTAACTAACTTACCTTTTTCAGATCTCAAAATGCCAGACATATTTCGATGACAACACACCCATATGCGCTAGCTCACGGTCTATCAGTATGTTAAAAAACAACGGAGTTATTGATAAACATAATTTTTAAAATTTTTGCTTTAACATCCTTTGTCTAGAAAATGGGGTGCCAATTAAAAATGACATTTTCACCCTAGTAGCGGATTGACCTACTAATTTGTATACACTTTATATAAACTTGGCATTGTTGCAGAATAAACAGTGTTAGTTAAGAAACCAACTGTCTGACGCCAATTTTTATGTTATCTGTTCAAAATAACCTGAGAGATTATTTTAGAAATTGCTGTCATGTTTTAATATAATCTATGTTTCCTGACTACACAATGAAAAAGTTGTTAAAAAAATATATATATTTTTTAATAAGCCTTTAATTTTCTATAGAACTATTTTCGTAAAAAAACTATTTAATTTATAAAACTATAATTATAAAATTAAGATATATCGCAAAATACCCATGCAAGTTAATATTTTTTCTTTACAGCTAAGGTACATATTTGCAGCAATACTTTAACAAAATAATATTCACTTAACACTGACTTTAGTAATTTATTCATTTTCTTCCTCAGTCTCAGAAGAGTTTTCGTCTTTCAGTGATCAAATATAAAATCCGTAATGTCCGGTTTAAAACACCGATATACCTTCAACTAATGAAAACTTTGGAGCGCGTCCAAGAACAGACGTCTGCCGCGACGCCTCCTAGTACCAGCAGTCACAAAAACGGCGTCGTTCACAATCCGCGTCGCCCATTCATGTTTTAGTTGTGGGGATACGCGAAGAGTGCTTTGTGGTACTCCCGAAGTCGGCGGGAGTTGTGCGCGAAAAACTTTCAGCTGAAAAAGTTGTGACTGTGGCCGCATTGGGTGCTTACAGACTGCCAGGTAATTCGGGGGTGCCTCTTGAGAGATACGTGGTGGGGCGGAATACTGAAATTTTGTTTATTGTAAAATTACAAAAAAAAAAACACATTTTATTATGAGCACTCGCATTTTTTTACTCTATTTTAAAAGTATTACAATTACAAATTCAAAATAATGTCAAATAATGTTCTTAGATACCAGAAATCTAGGTACCTATGTAAAAGATATCCAACGCCTATGGGCTGCATGCCATTGAATTACACCAACAATATCTAGTAAACAGCTACTAATGATATGTCTAAACGTGATTAATACAAAAACACATACTTGATATATTGAAATTTTTAAATAATATAATGCAATCAGTCAAAGAAATATTCTGTATTCTTGCTGTCCTATTCTCTTAACAAAGAGTAATCACAATTTCGTATTGTTGCATTAAAAGAAAGTAAATTTGTTTTAATTAACTTAATATACTTTTAAAATGAGTACAAAAATAACTCCTTGTGCGTCAATAAAATATCTATTTAAGCGAGACAATTTTATATAATTCCTAATAAACGTAAATGAATGTTATGCATTCAGGTAAATGTATTTTTAGAATGTAATGTTCAAAAGCTATAATAACTGTTTACGAAAGAATATTTTTTTATTATATACAACTTATGTACTTGAAGATGATCTGGTGAAACTTTTTTTTTACATTTTCGAATCTAACGTATCAATGTCAAATTAGGTAAAAATATTTCGTTATCGGTTATTCATCTTTATACAGAATTATAAAAAATGTTGCGTTCATTTTTCACAACTCGGTAAACGATAAAATATATTTTGTTGTACATAGTGTCCTAAAGAATGTGTATACAGTTTAAGGAGGTATATCGGGTTTACTAAAATGCACAGATGTACTTGAAATTTATATAGCGTATTACCGAGTGCTCCCTCTGTGCGTCGTATTTTTTTTATTTATTTTTTTTTTGAATCTAGATTTTGAGATATTGTTGTTGAAAATTGTTCATTTTAACATAGGTTTATATGGCGAAGATGGACGGTGCGGCTCTTTTTTTGCCCATAACTGAGAAAAATATTGTAGAAATTGTGAAATAAAAGTTTTCCATATATAGTACACAGTATTATCTTATTTTTGATGTAAAACTAAGTTTTGAACATAGTACAGCTGTATTAATTAGAAACAAAAACCAATAATTGCATTTCTGTCTGACTTGAGGATTAATGTGGCAACGTCGCAATCAGCTGACAGCAAGGAGGGAATACATTTGAAAGGCTTGATAAAAACGAAATTGATATCAAACATATACATTTTTCCTAAATCCCATGTACATTGTTATCAATAATAAATTATCCACAAAAGATTATTTTCTGCAATGTTTTTAAAAAATTAAATTAATTAAAAAAGGCTAGGAAGCTGTGATGTATTTATTGGAATAAAAAATACAGTTGATAAATCCTTTTAATATATTTAATGGTTTATAAAAACATCGTAATTCGTACCGTAATATTTAGGATTACATAAAGTTTTCTTTACTTGATTAATATAATTAGTAATACTTGAGATAAAAGCATTTGTACAGAATAACAAAGGAAATAAATATTTCTCGGCAAACTTTATATCTAAAAAATTAGTTATAGTTGCAAAACTTTTGTAACATTACTAAAATAGAGATGAAAAACACGAACAGTGAGTAATAATGTAATTTCTATCACAGAACCTTCAAAATTGCATCCAACATTTTCTTTGACTTGGACGAGAGATGGGCGCGAGTGTCATTTCATTTCTTTAGAACTAAATTAACATAATTCTCGTTGTTTTACCAGTTCACATGATTTACGGATTTTAAATAAAGGATACAAATCTTCGCGAGGATAATACGATATATTTGCTATATATAATAATTATATTGTACATAGTTTACACACAATACATTTTTGAACGCGTACGCATCTTTACCCGAATTTGACGCGCAATATCTCCGATGTCCGAGGTCTGTAGGTTCGCAGTGTGTACAACTGCACTCGATTATTAGCGCTGTTGCCACATCTACATAGTGTTTATGCGTTCATTAAATATAATTTAAAACTACTTAAATATGATATTTTTATGTTGTTAATTTTCAGTATGTATGTTATGTGCATATTGAGTAGATTTCTTTGCTATATTTATAGATAATGTTTATCGCAAATAATTTCAATAGAATTTAATTTTTTCAAGTTGGTAGCGGGTTTTAGTCCCATAAGAAAAGCATAGAACCCCCCCTGCGATCCTCATTTCCCTCGGACCCCGATATACCTCATTAAGGAAACATTTTTCAAGCAAAAATAAGTAAAAAAAATGGTAGCTGTCACTTGTCAGTAAATTGAATACAGTAGAGGAAAAACTCTAAAAATATAGCTTTTACCAAGAATTATCCAAATTTAATAATCGATTCTCAACTCTCAACTTCAAGAGTATAATAAATCTAGGTGAGCTGAAATAAAATCATTTATACAGGGTGTTAATTAAGTATGCACAATAAACAGTTCATGTAAACATTGGTCCGCAGATGCTTCGTTTTCAAGATACAGGGTGTTAAACTATTGTAAAAAATTGCTATTTCGTAAATATCTTAAACACCCTTTACCCATTTTTGTTGTAATTTGGCAGTGTTATTTGTAATGTTAAAGGGCTAATTTAACCCTAACTTGATTAGATTTGTTAAGTCCAGTGGCGTCCCGAGCGGTACCTTAACGAATATGTTTCTTGTGTAGTCCAGGGATATGCAATTAAGTGGATTTTATTTTTTTCTCCAAAAATTAATCAAGATACGAAAAACATTCAGGAGACAAAAAAGTTGTATTTTTAGTTGCTTAATTAAAAAAATATATATAAAAATTACTAAAAGTCAGTGGCGTACATTTTTTTTTGTCAAAAATTAACACCCTGTATAACTCTCGACGTTATTTTTGCAAATTCTACTAAATCCGATGCCCATCATTTATTTACGGGAAAAGAATATTGATTGCTTTAGCTTTTTAAAAATTTATTTATCATAGATTAACACAGCTGTCTGGTGAAAATTGAAGTGGCCATATTTTTATAAAGAAGCATGCTACTCATATCATGATTTCTAGACTTACAAAAAGAATAAATAATTGAAATAGGGGCAGCATCTAGGATCTCGAAAAGTTCGCAAAAATATATATATTTATTATAATGAACTGACATAATTTACGCGTTTTTTTTTTTAATTTTTCAGTAAATTAAATTAGTTGTATCTATACAAACATCCCATTTTTGATAACTTTAACAAATATGAAAATTTTGCAAAACAAATAAGCTTCTAATTGTATTTATGTATTTGTCGATAATGAAAAAAAAAATATGCTTGTATATTACGCACATATTCGTGCAACTTGCAACCCTTTTCAGGGTCCAAGGGTATGCTGCCTCTATTTTTACTTATTTATATCGTTTTGGACCGAAACTTTTAAATTTTTTATGAGAATAGATATCCTCTTCTAAGAAACCGTATTGGTCCCATGGATCTTTATAAAAATATGGCCCTTTCAATTTTCACCATCCCGTTTTGTCGCTGGGTCAACAAAATAACAACAAATTATATCGTAATTGTTTTGCCGATTTGGATTCTGCATATTTTTTTCCACCTACTTGTTAAAATTCCTGCAAAACAATTTGTGGGATACGGCAACAAATTAGCAGAGTTAGATATAATTATGTAGTAGGTATTAACTTTTATTCATCCAGTTTAACAAACGCTTAAGTCGATAAAATTGAATCGCCACACTTAGAAAAATGTCATTCACAGGGAATTAGAGATATTATGAAAAATACATTGTCAATAGATCATCTTCAGGTTATTGCTTAAAAGTGATAACATTTTTTTCGCGGACTATTGTACGTACCTCTCAACTGGCGCCTGCCGAAGGTGTTACCCAGTACCCAGCGTGGCGGAGGGACTATCTAAAAAAAGTGTCAGTGGTAATGGTGCACGATGCCTAGTGGAGGAGGTGCGGCGCCATCTCCGAGGGAAAATGTTTCGAGGCAGGCCCAGGGTGCGCGTCGGCAGACCCGTCAACTTCACGGACTGGCAGAAGCAGGGAGAGATGCTCTCCAAATGGAATAATGGTAAATGTCTTGCTTCTCTCACCTTAGCACAGGTTGATAGTCGTCGTCGTCGCGGACGTTGTCTTTAGTCGCCGCGTGACTTTTCCGCTTGAGCGCTGTGCGTGCTAGTTGAATGAAAGGCCCGGTGAGGGATATCCGACGAGGATTGAGGTATTTTAGTAGTGTAGTTTGTTCTCCTTACACGCATGTCGAAAGCTCGAGATGTAGGGATGTTATGGGGTTTATCAAACTATCGAGATTATTGTTACAATGACAGTTATAAATATTTTTCTGTCAAAAGTAGAATATTTTGTGTTGAAACAGATAGACAGTTTCAGAGTAAAGCTCCGTGATTTAAGCTAGGGAAAAAAAATGTTTTTCTACTCGTTTATGCGAAAGAATGAAAGTAAAAATTTTTTCATGGCTTAGTGATGACTTAAGTTGAAAATGCCGGTTTCGTTTTTAACACTAAAATGAAAATGTCAAATTTATTTCCTTAATTAAAACATTAAACTAACTTAATTTCCACGAATTTTATCATTACTTACTTTCAAAGGAACATGTTTTGTACATATCCAAAATTATTTAATAAAATTTCGCTCGGCAGATGTCATATACCATACATGTGACATAGGCAATTTTGAATATAATGCTGTATTTATGGAAGGTCTTTCTGAAACACCCTGTATTGTATATTTATATGGAATTTTGCTTAATATATGAAAATATCTTATTAGAAATTATAAATACATGTGCACATTTTTTACGAAATATTTTTCATCATTTTTTGTCGGACTGACGATTTGCTGATATATTTTTGTCGGATATTACAATTTTTGCTTATAAAAAACACTTTTCTATCGTGTGTTAGTTTTGTCCGACATGTGGTAATCGATTTATCATACCCCGTGAAAATTCCGATTTCCAGTTGCCGGACTGAAAAAACGCGGCTTGAAATTTGTCGGACAACAATACTTTTTGACTGAATTAATTATTTACAATTAATTTTACTAAAAATTACCTATGTGGTAATTGATTTTCAATACCCTGTTATTTTGGCATGTTTCGACCGGTAGACACGTCAATGTCGGAGGAATTTCTGTCGGACAAATTTAAATCGGCATTTGCAACAAAATTTCCAGTTACTTAAGCTAAAAATAAAAGATGTTGCTTTGACTTTTCAAGACCCCGGGAAATTGCCATGTTTTTGGACTTTTCCGAGTGGAAAAGCGGAGGAATCGAG